CCCCCCAGCTTGTGCGCGCGGGCCTTAACAGCTGCACTCCCGCCCCCCGCCTCCAGCGCCCCGCCCCTCAGCGCGCGCGGGTCCTCCGGCCGCCTCCCCCCTCCTTTAGCACGCGCGGGTTCTAACGGCCGCCCCACCCCCCCCAAACTAGCGCGCGGGGGCCCTAACGGTCGCCCTCCCCCCATCACCAAGCGATCCGGCGGTTACCGGCCGCGCCGTGCACGGGCCTACCGCGGGGTGAGCCACCATCCAGTTGCCGCCAGCGACGSCCCCCGCCCAGGCTCCGTCTCCTCGCGCATCCCGCTCGCCCGCGGAGCCGCCCCGCTTTAAACCGCTGCCCCCAACCCCTGCGCCGCCCTCCGCCTCCATGAGCTTCTCGGTGCAACGGAGCTTTGCTCCGGGCAGCGGCTGACGGCTGAGTCGTTCCCCCGCGCCCGTTTGCCTCGCTGCTCCCGTTCCGCCTCCAGCCCGTTCCGCTCGGAGCCGAGACTACCCTGACAGGCCGAGGCGCAATCGGTCCGTTTGTAACCCATTCGCTACACTAGATCTTATTTCACAGGGAAACTAGACGCTGTAAATATATGTGTATATATATCACAAGCAGCAGAGAGGGAGGGAAAAAACAGAAGACAAAAGCAAAGAACACATATTCTTAATGTATGGCGCCTCAGGTCTGTCTGTACGGACTTCTCCAGCCTCATCTGTACTGGCACCTCTTCGGACTGATTTCAAACACTGACTTGAGTCAGACCTGTCTGATGGCGTTTTGCATAATAGCTTCAGGCTGCTGCTGATGCGCAGAAAAATAGGCTACGTGCTGTTTTTAACAGATCTAAAGAGCAAACTGTAAATCAGGCAAAAGACTGTAAAGCCCTGRCGAGTGCTTGTACTTCATCAGGCTACACCAAGGAAAATGTCAGGGAATGAAAACAGCCAGCAGCTCCACTCTTGAGAGGAAACAAAACTGTGATCAAACTGGCACACGGCAAAATGAACAATGTTTTCTTTATTAATTCATCTTATTATATAATGGTCATTAAGGCTATAAACAAAGCACAAATGAAAAATAATCTGTGCCTACTAAGTATGCAGATTGGTGTGTGGTTCATAGCTGCAGGAAGTCATCAAATTGGCGCCCATCTTGTTCTTGCAATTTTGAGGACGTGGGTCTGTTTAAAAAAAAGAATGGTTTTAGCAGGTACTTTGATTCCCTCTGCACAAAAGCAATATGTGAATCAAAATAATTAAAATAAACTCACACCTTTCCAAACTCTGAGACTTGCCAGGAAGAGTGGCCATTGGTGGTTTGCTTGACTGCTGGCAAAAGGACTGGGCAGATTTGGGACCTCAGAGGAAAATTAAAAAATGGAAGAAAATGGATACTTTTAGGTCTGTGTATATTAGATCCTCTATTTTCTGCTGATGTTGAAAACAGCTTCTGAGAGGATTGTTATCTGTCTAACCAGGGAGCACACTCCTGACAGTTTTCACAAGTGGAAATATTTCTGGTGCTTTGGATGTTCAGCACAGGAAAAAAAAGTGGCCTAAATTTATTTCTGAACAACTTAATTGAAAAACAAACAAACAAACAAACAAACAAACAAAAAGCTGTTTCTTTCCCTGAGCTAGAATATTTTGGCCTTTGGTGATTAATTGTCCTGTCACAGCAGGATTGGGGCTTGTTTTGAAAAAAAAGGAGGGGGGGAAGTTATTTTGCTCACTTATAAAAGAAGAATGTATATAGGGATGTGTATATATGTATGTATACACACCACATATATATATTCACTGATGCATATGTGTGTRTGCACTTACATCTGTAAGAAATGGTAGGAATTGTAACTGTTGACCTTTTCTTTTAATAGAAGTCAGACATTTCCAAAATTTCAACTTGCTACGTGGCTCTGGGACTAAGAAATGGAGCTGAGCTGACTCCCTTCTCTTGGGTATGGAGAAATATCATCACGTTTCAGTCATCTACTGACCCTTCTCCAGGTAAGGACAAATTTTCTTTGCATATCAACATGATGCAGCCAGCGAAGCAAATTGTGTGGGTGAGAAGAAAGTCACTTGGAAGAGGAAATGAGTGGTGGTTGGATACTGCTGGAGGCATTGCATTTGAACAGGTTGMTTTGTTCACATAACAAAAAGAGGGAAGCAGCTTGAGAACTGTGGCAACCACTTCAGATTTCACTGAAGACAGCAGCAGTTAGGCAGGATAAAATGCATGTTCAGCCTTCAGTGAACACACATACTGAAAAAGAGCTGGCTGCCAGCCCTCCATGTCTAGTATAATCATCCCCATCCTCCAGGAGTGGTCCCGTGGGCTACACTGGTGTTATTTGTGTGTGGAGAAGGCTGGCTCCTGTAAAACCCTAGTAWTTTCATACGGACTACAAAGCTGTTCCTTCTGTTTGGTTAATGAATCCAAGCATAAAAGCAACATGTGGCAAACTAACCATGAAAGAAAAGCCTCATTAATGTATTGTTCTAGAGGACAATTACAAAGGTGTCATTAAGGGCAAACGGGAGGAATATATCCTCACTAATTGTTTAGGAAAATGCTTGCAAATTGCAGAACTTTCTTGAATTTCAGTGTAGCTGATTTAACTTCTGGAGATTCTTTGTTGAAGTTTAATATTTTTCTTGAGATGTTCTCTCTGTTTTATTTCTGGGGAGAGATCAGGAAATTCAGAATCTAATTTGCTGTTGGTGATAAATTATGTTCTACAGACAAAGAACAGCAAACAATTCACAGAATATAGTTTTTTACTGTTTGGTTGCTAAATGTTTACTTTTTTCTGCATCTTGCAAGCACGCRGGCAACAACCTATGGAACTAGCACGACTCACTTTAAGTGGATCTCTTCAGTTTGCAGGGACAACCTGCCAGGGACTGTCTGGTAAAAAAAAAAAAAGAGGTATGCAGAAATAGGGTCCTTAGAGTTAATTAGGGATTTGGTCTTGAAAAGGGTTTAACATGCCCAAATCCTATTAACTTCTAAGGCAGTTGTGATTACTATGCCCCTTTTAAGATCATGACCCAATAATTTTAATTGCTATAACATGGTTTAATTTCTTTCATTGCTAAACTGTCATCTCTTCCTCACTATCAGTGTTACACATCCATTCATGGGAACATTGCTGCAYAGGGCAACTCAATAAACATATAAAATATTTCCATCTTGCAGCCAAATTCAAGCTTGGGTAACTGGAACACTGTTTGCTTGTCCTTCCTGCAGCTGCAGTTGGGTGCTGGGTACGAGTCTGATTCGCATGTGCATCCTGAGCATGTTTGCAAAGCATTTTATTATATATTTATACATACACACACGTATATACATATATAAATCACGAAATCAGCCTCAGTCCCTAACGGATGGGATGGACGAGCGCGAAATGCTCACGTAAGCAGCGAGCTGGGAGATGTGCAGCGCGAGCTCGGCACTCCACGAGGAGCCCGTTGCGGCAGGTCCGCCCCGGGGCGCCGAACGCCGGGCGCGCTGCTCGTGCCCCGGCCGTTTGCGGGGCGCTGCCGCAGGTGCGCGGGGGCCGCGCGGGCCGGGGCCGGGGCCGCCCGCCCCTCGCCGCAGGGGGAGGGCCGGCCCGGGCCGGGGGAGGCGCCGCGCTGCCCGGGGGCGGGGTCTGGGGGCGCTGGGCCGGGCGGCCCCGCGGCTGCTCCTCCCCGCGCTGCCCGAGCCGCTCCGCGCACTGCCCATCATGGCTGCGCGCGCCCCCCGTCCCCTCCTGCCGCTGCTGCCGCTGCTGCTGCTCGGCGGCTGCGGGGCCACCCTGCCCCCGGAGCCGCCGCCACCGCCGCCGCCGCCGGGCGCGCAGCCCCTGGGCGAGTCGGCGCTGCAGGCGCCCACCGTGCTGCTCGCCATCATCGCCCGCAACGCGGCGCACGCGCTGCCCCACGTCCTGGGCTGCATCGAGCGGCTGCGCTACCCCAAGGACAGGATCGCGCTCTGGTAAGGGCGGCGGGCCCGCAGGAGCCCGCAGACACGGGCAGAGCCGCGCGGTCCCGGCCTCGGGGCGGGAGGTGCTGACGGGCGTGCGGAGGGAGCCCAAAGATGCGCCCGGGGATTGCGGCGTGTGGCAGCGGGGCGGGCGACGGAGCAGCCTGGAAACCCATCACTCGGCCCCTGTCTATTGGGGGGGGGGCGTAGGGAGACGAATCTTCTCATTTTAGCATAAATGCTTGGAGCAGCAGGAACTGCCTGAGAGGATCCAAAAGTGTGTAAAATAAGAACGGAATGTAAGCTAAAAAAGGGGGATATAGGGCCTGATCCCAAATTCACTAAACTCAGTGGAAACTTTTTGTTGGCTGCAGAAGTCAATAAAGGTCTTTGACTGAAGGAATTTGGGGATACTACCCATCACAGCAGTGATACTAAAGCATCTTTGAACAAACCGTGTTGGATGTTGCTGTAAGAATTTAAAGGATGTGTTTGTTAGTTGTCTTAGATAATGCGTAAATAATAAATCTTAAACACATTTTAATAGAAAAGTAGTGGCTCATTTAAAGTTGATTAAACTTTATTCAGTTTGCAGATTTTTTTTTTTTTGCTTTTTTTTTGTAAATTTGAAGTATGCAAAACCATTTCTGATGCTGTTAAAAATGTGTTGTTCTACACAAGTGAACTGCTAATGGGATTATAATCTAATGTATTGCAGTGGATCAGCATCAAATACATTTGTTTGCATGTAGGTGCTTGGTCCTGTTTTAATTTGCATCGGTAAGAATTTTGCTGATTTAGCTAAACAAAAACATCAGAAAAGTCTCTGGGTTTTGTTTTAACAGGTATGTATAAAAGCTATTAGGAGACTTTAGATATTGACCATGATTCAGCAATGTGTATTTGCATGATGTTTGCAAAAGTGATTGTAATGGAACTTRTAAGTGCAGACCTGTTAATAAAAGCAGGGCAGATCCCCAAATCTTTCTTATGGAAGTAAAAAATAGGTAGTGACTGTATCTACAATTTATTTTGTGTGTTCCCTGCACTATGTACACTTCAGTGTCTTTGCAGAGTGTGTAAATGCATTTCTGGCAACTCTTCATGAAATTACAGTGCAAAGTAATTAAAAAAATACTCTGAGATGATTATAAAAGTGAAGTGGTATTCCCTGAAGGATTGTGTGCAGACACAAGCTTTAGTTAAATAGTGAAAGCTTCATCATTTTTCATGGTTAACCTGGAAAATTCCTCTCCTGATTTTTTAAAAAAGGACTCCTAAAGTCAATGTTTTAAAATCTCCAACTGTAGGTCTTGAGGATGAAAATTAAAAGCATGCATCATCTCTTAAACTTTTATGTGCTGTTTTGCCCAGGGCTTAAATTCAATAGTGAATTCCTCAGACGAGTTTCTAGTGGGGAGGACATGTGAGCGACAGCAGAGAAGCTTAAGAGACAGTAAATGAATAAATGAGTTTGAACAGAGATGTTGATAATTTTTCATTCATATCCTACATTACTTAACAGTGGTGCTCCATCCTATTTAGTCTAATAGCAAGCAAATGATATGCTCAGGACAGTCTTATACTCTCCTCTTTCCTTTGGCCGCAGCTCTTCGGTTGCTGTAACGGTGAGCACCCTTGGAACTACGTGTATCCTAGTGAAGCAACTGTTTGGTCTGAGGCCAACTGGCATGGCATGACCCATGTCCTTTCAGTTGACTGCTTCCTTCTTCTCCCTCCCCAAACAGGAAGCTGCATCCAAGCTGCCTATTGGGAATATCTCTGGCCCCTATTAAACCCAGTTGTTGGCACAGGTCAGGGTTGTTCCAGGGTTATATTAATGACTTAGTGGTGAGATTTCAATGCAGTAGTGCTCAGGCTCTTGTCTTGGCCCTATTTAGTCTACTAGGGTAGACTTGGCTATAGGCAATCTGTCTATGAGCTGCTGATGCTGCCCACTCCTGCTTGGCAGAAGAAAATGAATACTTATTCTGAGGTTAGTTTTGTTGATAAAATACAAACCCGTCCTGCAGGTACTGCTCCATTGCTGCTGTTGTGTCCCAGAGTTCCTGAGAAGAATCCCATGACCTGTGGAGGTGGGAACAGCAARGATCTCATGCCTTGGCAGCAGACTCCAGTTCCCCACCTTACCTTGTGGACAAGCCGGTGCTTATGGAGTTGTCAAAAAGCAATACTGAAGATGGCAGTTGTGATTTCTTGCAAAGAAGGCATGGGAGAGCAAGGGGCTTGAGCCCTTCCCTTAGATACCTGTAGAAAGAATAGACAATATTTGGTTTAAAAACAGATTATGTTATGAGAAACAGGCTAGTGCCCAGAGACAGTAAAGAGGGTTGAGAAAACAAGGGTATTGGGTCATTGGATCTACATGCTGAAGAATATTAATGGCCATTCTCTTGTAATGCTGTTTTTCTTTTCTAGCTAGGGAGTGTTCTTCAGATGGCGTGTGTATTGGCATGTCTGCTGGGGTGGGCGCAGCTTCTCAGGGCTGTGAATCCAGCCTGAGTTAGACAATTTGGGTGTGTTAAGGCATCTTTTATTTCTTTTTTTTAAGTGTTAAAAGAGAAGTTCAAAAAAGGTAAATGTCGGTCATCTTTATCTTGGAAAAAATAAATGACCCAAAAGTCAGTAGTCAGTGTTCCTCTGGCTGTCTTTTAGGTGGCTTAGAGTTGATTTTCTTGTTTTGAGCAATACCAATGCTAAATTTTGACTGTTCTTGTTAATTCCAGAACCTCTCTGGTAACATCTTCACACTAAATATGTCTTCACACATAAATATGCCTTCACACTAAATGCTGAAGTTTTCCATGTAAAAGTCTTCCAGGTTGTGTTAATTAGCTGCATTAGCTGTGTTAATTTGCTTCATTTTGCTCTAGTTTCAAATTAAGGGAAAAAAAAAAAAAAGAAGTCTTGATACAAATCTGGTTCAGATTAAATTTGATTTTAAAAATGGCTTTGTATCAGCAGCATTTCAGTAGCATTAGTTGCCATTGAAGTCTGAGAGGAAATGCAGATTTTTTTGAGATTTACTCAGTTATAGAGCATTAATTTGTCAAACTGGTTCATCTTGGCTTCAGTAAATACTTGCAAAGTAGAGATGTGCTCATCAGAATGAGAATCAAGTCTGTGCTGGTTGGACTCAGTATTCAGGGGAAATCTTTCATTCCCTTCCAAAGCATTTTTTTCTGCTTATCATGCTGGCATACATTTTTCCAGTCCTTGTACTGCGTGATGGTATAGCCAGGAAAGTTGTCCATAATTCAATTTTAAATATCTCTTCTTAGTGGTAAGCTGGTAAGCTGTGCCCTTTTTTTTTTTTTTTTTAATAGCCTGAGAATCTGCATATTTATTTGGAGCTTTGGAGATAACAATTAGTCCCTCTTGTGCTTGAAAATGTATATCTATTGTGTGTATCAGTGCATGTGTATACTTTGGAAATGATGACATGCATCATGTGTGAGATAGCTAGAAAGCTGGCYAAATCCCCAATGATTGCATACTGTGATGCTGGCTCTGGTGAGCAAATGGCTTAAACTTGAAAGAACCACTTGTAACTGAAAATATTAGCTGACAAGAGCAGTGTAATAATGATGACATCCATACTGATATATTTTTAATTTACAACGAGCTAATGATAGTCTCTTATTCTGCAGCAGTTTACTTTCAAATATGAAAAGTTTTATGTAGATTTATGTAGATGATTTCCAGTAAGATGCAGAGAATATTTGAAGCCATAATGGGTATTATTACTCACTGGGAAGGATTGGCTTTCCAGCGTGCTGTTTTCTGTGCTGCTTTCCATGAAACAAGGTCAATTTAATCTTTGTGATAAATATTAGTCACTAAGGAATGCTGAGGATCCCTTCTGCTGCTTTTGTGGGTTGCTTCTGTCCACTGATATTTTAGATCTATTTAAAGCTTGCTCACCTACTATGGTTTGCATATCAAATATTAAAACTGAAGTTTTGAAAATTAATTTGACTTCTCACTTGCTTGTCTTTTAAAATTAACCTTCCTGGATTTACCTTCCCTTTCATATTTATAGAGGATTTTTTAGTCTACGACTAAGTTTTTTAAAGTTATCTAAATAGAGCTAAGAGTGAGATGGGACCTGTACCACCTTAGAGCTGTGATGAAGATGATGATCCTGTTTTGCAGGGTGTTGCATAGAGTCTTTCTGTGTTTCTTCCAGAGCACTTGCCTTTAGATAACACTAAAGGAAAGAATGAGTCTAAAATACTTCATTTTCTAGCTAGGGAACTTCGAGTGGAAGGGCTAATTAACCAACAATGTTCTTGATTTTTATTAGGGTCAGAGATACTAAGTCATGATGGATGTTTCTTAAGTCTTCTTTCTTACTGAGGGTAGCTGTCATATATCCTGTGTAAATGAAATARTGAAAGAGTGGGGGAGAGAGCTCCRTATCAGAGGCTGCTGTTCACCATAAGCTTTTTTATGCTTTCAAAGGTCAGAGAGAATGAAGAGTCACCTTGTTCATTCCTGCCCAAGGCAGGATCTCGCACCTCCCTGAGATGTTTGTCTAGCTGGCTCCGAAATTCCTCGGGGCTGGGATTCCATGCGTAGTCAAGGCTGCCGACTGTCAAGGTTGTGCAGTGTTGTGTCTTACAAAGCCTGTTCAAGTGTGGGGAAAGAGRTAGGCAGATGTGTGCCGCTGTATTGGAGAAGCAGCTGCAACCAAAGTTGGCTGTGAAATGCCAGGATCCTTTAAAAAAAGGACAATTTCACTTGTACATTCTTGGTATACAGGCTATTTCAGTTTAACTTGTGGCCCTGGGGGCAGGCTCAGTTGGATATGATCCAGATGAGATCTGCAGCATTCCTGCCACCATTCTTCTACCTGCAAACACTCTTCCTTCTGTGTTGCTCTTTCAACTGGGATGTCCCTGTGTTAATGGCTGGATCTTGTGGAGCAGCTAGTGCTGGAGTGCATTTCTGGAGAGAATTTCTGGCCTGGCCTCCATAATCATGAARTA